TCTTCATAATACTTATTGTTCCATCTGCATTACAGACATTTGGTCAATGAACACAGACTTTTAATCGAGACCTACCAGAGAGAGTCCAACATCAACAAACGGCTGAGCCTAGAGAATGAGGAACTAGCATGGAAACTCCGACAGCGAGAGGAGATCATGTCAACATCGATGCCTTCCTCTACCCTTGGTATGTTTGCTTTCTTAGCTGTCCTAAACAAAAACAGCTGCTAGAACAATATCTATAATTTTGGATATCACAATTCCCCTAAAATCCTGATTTTTTTTTATCTTGTATCAAAGATTCTTGCTATGTTAGCACTCATGCATATATATATATTATATTTGAAATGTGTATTTTTGGTATATTTTTAGTCAATATCATCTCATAATGGGTCTGGGTAGTATGGCAAGAAAATATTCACGCTTTAAAGCAACAAAAGAGACAGTGATAGTAACAACATCAGTACCATGGTGGGTTTGTAGACTGCTCAGTGTTTCTCATAAGTAGCAGTGTGGTACAGCCCTGTAAATTAATATGTACTCTGCTGAAATACACATACTTCTTTACAAGGCTTCAGATGTCTATTTGGAGGCAGTAGACCAGGTAGATCCTCATTTGTTGAACATCTGTGATTTAAAAATGTCATGGATATCTAAATGGGAATTTTTCCTTGTTTCTGATGAAGGATCTGTAGCATTTAAGTTGTTCATGTGTATTTCCTTTCATTTTGCTTCTTATACTTGGTGAGCTCAATCACGTGTCTATCTGCCAGGCTTAGGCTGCATGTGCTTGCCTCCACAGACATTTATTTTGCATGAAGTTCTATCCAAAGCACCGCATTCTGGTGGAGGTTGAAGGACTTTTGGTCACCAAAACAGCAATGTGTATGGCCTCTCATTTTACTGTTGGATATTGATACACTGGTAAATAGGATTTTTGTGGAGCTCCCATGATAACTGGAACCTTCTACCTTTGTATAATACTGTGGAATGCTGCACATGCACACATGAAGCCGATGGTAAGACCAGCTACCATACATGAAAACTACATCATCCAAAAACAAAAGCTAAGGGCTGAATGCTTCGTTATTCCCTCCAGCATAATCATAATTTTGGCAGTATTTGTCATATTTGTAATACTGTATTGCTGCTGCATGTTTACATGTATTGGATAGTGAAAGCTTCATTAAATAGTTAATCTCATAGCAATTATTGAAGTAATTATTTGATCAATAATGGTACAGTAATACAGGTGCTTTTTTCCATAAATCCACAAATGCAGACATACAAACCAAATCATTGGAGAGCAGGGCAAGAGCCCAGAGATTCAAGTCACCAAAATCATAGTTATATAGTTATTTCACCGGCACAGAAGCAACTGTCGGCCCACCCCCATGCTTTAGTCTTTATTCTGGTCTGACCACCGGCCTGCACACCTGACTCCCGGGTCACCTTTTACAGATCTTGTGAGCCGATCTCCTGCATCAGCACGGCGCCAAGAGGGGGCGTCCTCCCCTCAGGCTGCCCCCCGATCACCCAGGTACGTATCCCTGCACAACTGTCACCCACTGCCCGGCACATCTGCACCAATTTTGCACTTAAGTTATTCTTCGGGCACTTTGACTGGTCCCAAGCACACAGTTGCAAGAACACACCCCTTAACTGGCAATGTTTCACATAAGATCTTGATGAATAAATTTTGTAGTTCAAAGATGTTATGTCTGCATTTCTTATTAGACTGTATTTGATGCCATATTTTGGCAGCTTTACCAGCTATTAATGAATTTAAATGTTGCCTATGCCTTGTAAAGCATATACAGCTAAAGTAGATGTGTTAGGCAATGTTATTTCAAAATTAGAATGCAGATGTATATATCAGTTTGGGTAACAACTTTCCTTAAGTACTCTCATCCAGCTACAGTATGGGGTACCTTGTAATCTAAAGCAGTTTTTTAATATCTTTAAAAATTACACTGAAATTCTTGATGCAATATGATAGTCTTAAAGCACCACCATCTTAATACTTCACGTAAGGAGTTTTTATCTGATCATTATTAGTGATTAGTAGTGTTTAGTTTTCTGTTGTGTATGTTATATAGTTCTTTCCACATGTACAATAGCTTTTTTGCAGTTAGAATATATTTTTATTGTCAAAACTTTTACCATGATTTACCTCCCCACCCCTTTCACTACTGCACTTAATTCCTCAGTATCAGAACTGGGATTAGTTCTTCAGCATCCTTGCATGATAACCTCAGGAAATAAATGTCATTGTTTACCCCAGCACTTATGTTATAAAAGTTACCTGCTTTCACTATTTGATTTTGTTCATGGACCTGACTCTTTTTCTTTGGAGAAAATAGACCTAATGAGACCCAGATCAGGCATTTTTCTTATATAGAGAGGTGTATTAGCTTTGGCAATGGCTTTATAGTCAAAGCTTTTTTGTTATGTGTATGCAGGTTTATGATTACTTCATTTTCACAGCAGGTAAAAGGCCTATAAAGAAAATATCTTAAGAAAAATATATACTCAAAACATTTCAGGTGGCACGCTTCTAGTTTTTGCTCTCTTTTCTCTAACACGTTCTGTGTGTCTCCACAGGGTAGCTGGCCGTACTCCATCAGGGAAAGTGTCACCCTCTAAGAGTGAGGCCAGCAAGCGTAGGTCCAGGTTAGGCCTGTCGCCAGATGACGGCATGAACGGAGACAGCAGAGTGCAGGAAGTTTCCCTGGAGTCTCCTCCACCATCACCCTGTGTCAAGGCAGTGGTGGAAAAATCAAATTCTGTCTCGTTCATTCTGGATTTAAACGATTCGCAATCCGATGATAGCTTTCTGGACTTGCCACCATCCCCCAGACCAAGACCACACCGGACAGCTTCCCTAAGTGCCGCAGACCGTCCTCGGACACCAACACAAGCCAGAAGAGTCATGCACAACAACAGAACCAACAGCCTTAATAAGAATGGACTTCATATGGATGGGAAATCAAAAAACATTAATGGAAAGCCCAAGGATTTTTTTGGGAAAGCTAGAGGGATGAACGGCAAAGTCGGAGAAATAAACGGAAAGTCTCTTGACTCCAATGGCCACAGCAGTCAGCCAGAGTCTGGGCGCAGTGCCTCCGAAAGCAGTGAGGGAGGGAGTGAAGTGGAGCGCGTTTCACCAACTGGTCTGGCTTGGACCGTTCCAGTCCACAAACCAAAGTCACCCACCAAAGGCCATGCCTCTCGCCAGAATGGGTCGCCAGTCAGAGGAAGAATAGAACACCACCTCTTGGAGGATCCAGAGGAGGATGAATATGAAGAGACACCAACTCATCAGTTCATTGAGGTTGTAGAGTTGTCTGGAGTTGGACTGACTAGCAGCTCAGAAGCTGCTAGTGACTCTGAACTCTCTCAATGCGACCTCATAAAAGGTGGCTCATCCACGGACTCTGACAGTGACAGCAGTGAGGGCGAACATCACAACAAGAAGGATGCTACGAGCCACCAAACCCTAGGACATAAGGGTGGACCATGGTGTCCCAAGGAGGGTGCTGGTGAGGCTATGATCACAGATGAGCTCTTAAAACAGTACACTAGCGACCCGCTGTCAATGGAGCCCAAGCCAGTTCAAGGAAAACGCCCCTTGCGCCGCCGGATTCCCTCGGCACCATCCTCAGATTCTGACGACAATAACATGAATACCCATAACAACGGTACTACCGGGGATGTGAGCTGGTCTGAGGATGTAGACATCACCTCTAGCTCAGAGATGCACGAGCTGTGACAACACAGTTCATCTCCTTCATCTCGACCGACAACTGACGAACGACTGCGAACGATTAAGCACTGCCACAGCTTTCTAACTTGCCATATAACAAGTGATCTCTCTCATGGTACAACTTCCACTTGTGTAAATGCAGATCCACAACTTGTCCTTAAGACTACAGAGCCTTTAGCTCCAGTTGCTTAGAATACTAGGGCGGATTTCCTCGATGGGAGGGAAAATGCCGGTACCATTCACCAGATGAATCACTTGATGGCTAGTTTGTGTTGTGTTTATTTTCTAGTCAAGCTGTGTAAATCCACACAACGGATCCTATTGTGCCCACTAGCTGCAGTCAGCCAAAGCAGCTGGGCTCCCTAGGGAAGTCTGTAAGTCTCCCGTGGAAGACCAGAGTTTCTCCCGGTGTCCTATTTGCCTCCGTGCCAACACAAGCAATAGGAGCATTCTGGGGCGATTTTTTGCCTTATCAGACCTATGTTTACTGGGTCACTTCCCTGTGGCACCTATATATATAAATATATATATATTTACCTGAGTACATGCAAGAGTGTAAGGGTCATTCTTAGAGAGTGACACGACGATTTAAGTCCAAGCCTAGGTCAACGCTGAGCTGTACCATAACCTACACACCGTTACCTATGGAATGATTTGGTTGTATGAAGGACTCAGTCGTTGGTTGTACATAATGTTTGCTGTGTAACTTTGAAAATACGACATATATATTATCACTCACACTATAGTGTAATATATCCAATAAGAGCATGACATATTTGCAGATTCAACTACAGAGCTTATACCCTATTGAGAGTCCAGAATTAATGTAATTTATTAAATGCACAATGAAAAGCGCAAAAAATTATTGTTTATATATTTAATTGTTTTTCAAGTTACATGATATGTCAGTACAGTTAATACGTTTTGTTAAAGATGGCAAAACACCTGTTATAGATAATAAATGGGCCACTAGGCATGTGCCAGGCTTTGCTGACCAATGACACAACTCCTACATGCCTTCTGTTGTTGCCGCGAGTGGGCGGGTGTGCCCTCGCCTGCGGTCTTGTGATCTATGTTCTTATGACTTATCAGGTAGTCATCATGTTTCTCAGTAACATAATAGTTAATGGATTAAACTATTCTTAATGTAATACGAAACTTGTAAAAAATGAGGCCATAGTGGTTGTTATAAATTCCAAGTCACTTTAGAGGAGGGAGTTGATGGCACAAAAAATGTGGCCACAACTTTTATCAGCAGAAATCTTATTTTGTGGCCATTTCTGCATCACATATGCAGGAACACACACGTCAACATATGCAAAGTGGTGCCATGCGTTGCCTGTTTTTCTACCCAGTGTGCAAAGTGCTAATTGTGCTAGGGCTGCAAGGGTCAGTCTGCCCGCGTGGAAGGGGTAACATCCGATGTATATTATTATACGGCGAAACAATGATTTTGTGCTTTAGGGAAACTATGTACAAGGCTCTTTTTACTTGTTTTTTTGCAAATAAGGGAGACTGCCATACAGTAAATCCTTTCCTGAAAACACAATTTCCCCCTCGCCAACGATGTGTCATGACAAAGAGATTTCTTCCAATGATTATTTATGCAGATAGACCATTTTTGCCCTCACATATTCTTAGAAGAGTGTCTTGGTTTTAATGATTTAAGAGTATTACAGCATTGTTTATACTAAGTTCAAAGCCCTGATGTGATCTTGTTTTACATCTATATTACAACCCAGCTATTAAGTTTAAAGACCCAATGTGATCTTACTGTAGGACATAGAAATAAAGCAAAGCTCGATTACCTTGTTTCCATATCCAGTCATTTTTTGTCTATGTGGATGTACGCGTCCATCTCTCGATTTTGGTTCCTGAAAAGATATGCACATGTCCACATTAGACTGGAAATGTTTTGAAGGATGTACAAACGCTGCAATATATGTGTAATATTTGTATTTATGTATTATTTTTACAAATTAACTGTTCAAATTCAGATATCAGAAATACACAGACATAAAATAATGCAATATACTATAATATCCAAATGCAATACATTATCAAGTAGTTTTCTGATACTGAATCCATTAAAAGTCAACTCTACATTGATAAAGTTTTTTACTTCAAAATGTACAGCAAAAGCTGAAGAGAAAAAAGTTTCTAATTAAACATTTTTTTGCTTGGAGTTGAAAATGCACAAAATTATATGGAAAAAAAGTTCGCAAGATAAGGACAACAATGAGGTTCTAACGAATAACGAGATGTCAAAGAAAATGAAAATAATAATGAATCTGATATTGATAGTGACATCACAAGGACAAAGATAATGACGGCGATGATGATAATGATAATATGGATAATAGTTAAGGTGATGATTATAGCAAGAGCAAATATATTAGTAAATTAATAATAATAATGACTAAGGTTTTTATCTAGAATATACGCATACATGCAGCATGGTCATAAGTCTGTCAGACATGCACAATATTTGACCGATTCCTAGTTTCTCTCAGTCTTCCTCTTCCCCATGTCCGGATTAGGCCAGCTGGTGGCCGAATAACAATGCCACTTCGGCTGTGAAACCATGTGTGATACGGAGATCCTAAAGCTAGTTGATATGAGCTATATATAATATGTAGATCAACAGTATAAGCAATTACAATTCTTACTTATATCGCTTTAATGATTAATCCAGGGGTCTGTTTGCCTCTGTCTTTCTCTTTCTATGTCTCTGTCTGTCTGTCTCTCTCACACACACGCACACACACTATGACTCAGCAATTTTGTCTAAGACTACTGCTGAAAATGTCTTTATCAGCCGATTTTCAACAATGGCTCGGCCGGAGTTTAAAACAGATTCATATCAGACGCGGTCAACAACACTGTAGTTTACTTTTTCTGAAGATAATTCCGGGTCACTATGATATGGAATACTTGCATGCCACTTCTTATACGCTGTTAAACGGCAACTGAGCCACTTCCTCCATGTTAACTGCCGTTTTCTCTTCGAGTAATACAAATGGACCCGCGCGCCTTTACAGCTGACAGGATGAAAACATAAACATAGGCGTTGGAAAAGGCGGAGGAGGAGGGGGGAGGGGGAGCCATCTTATGCCCTCCCCCCTCTCCCCACTCTTCAAGGGAGGACATTCCCTCTAAACAAACAGTGAAATTCCTTAGTTACCCAGTTGCTGAGAACTCTGACCCCTGCAGCAGGGGGCAGCTCCAGCTGAGCCCCTCCCCCACTTCGAAATACCTTCCTACGCCTATGATAGAGGGTGCCACGTGTACATAAAATATGTTATCATGTAACACTACAGCATGACTCGTATATGAGACACTGACTCGGACCACTTTCACGACGTAGTAACAAGTGTGCCTCAAGAGCTTCTCCGAAGTCCGGGGCCTCTAGTCTCGCCCGGTATCGTTGTTTCCGAGATTTATATAAAGCTATATAGAGTAAATATCTGATTTTTCAGAATTCTCTGCTTTGCCTGCACGTTCTGAGCTCTGATCTTGCAGGTCACACGAGACAACAGTAGGCGTAGTCAAAACCCCACCTCAGACCCACAGCACTCTTCTACCTTTGGGCAGCCCTTGTGGCTTTAGACCCCTGGGTAGGGAGGCCCAGTAGTGTGGGACGTCCTTTGGGTGCACTATTTCTTATTTTGATTTCCCTTCCTATCTTCATGTGACTTCCCTGAGACTACGGAGCTCCCTCGTGGGCTCCGTATTCGCTTGGGAGAGGGCATCGAATTACTGTCCTTCGCCTAGTTATGATATACTCGAGTTAAAGTAAGTATTCCTATCGGCCCAAATACCTGTAATGGAGTAATCTTTCCCAGGGATTTGAGGACGATGAAGGACCAAGACGTAGTGGACGGTCATTGTATGACCAAGAATGACGGGAATGTGCGAACAAAAATTGAACAGTTTTCTTTCCTTTTGCTTTAATTTAAATACGATCCCTGAATATGTCAATGTCGGATGTGAACGTGTTCAATTAAGAACTCACATTAAAAAAACAATGCATTGTAATAGTTGCCCAAAAATTCGAACACACCTCATTATGCTATACTGACAAAGACTCGAATAAATTCACTTACCGTAAATGTGCTCAGGCTCACGACACCAGTACATGTACTACATGTGCTAATAGTGGAGGTCCCCCTCAATCAGGTTCCGCTGTGTGCAGTAGCCTGAAGGAGACAGAAACATTAGCATATAAGAAAAATAAAACATGAATAGGAAAGTCGAAAGTTTGACAAACCTAATACTTCCTATACTGCAACTAATGTCAGTCAACAGCTTGCAGCTAAAGATAAAGAAATTGCTGAACTTAACTGTCAAAAAAATAAACATTAAAGTTTATCATCTGCCTAAATTGGTCGATCAAATGGCTGAACCAACCCAGCAAAAACATCTCAAGGAGGCTGATACCGAATCACAGTCCGTATCTCACACACCCCGTCCGAGCGACTCCTGTGAGGACTTCGCCGGGCTCTCGATCAGCTGCTCGAGAGAGAAGGTCGCCCTCGGCCAGCCGTCTCCCTCGCAGAGAGACGCAGGACATGGAGGCTTCCGTCTCCAAATCTTCCCGTGAGAGGTACTCGGGAAGGTCGGGAGAGGAGGCGTCTCCCTCCCAGAAAAAGAAAATTAAAACCGGCTGACAAAGCACTTCCAGAACCCATAAAACACAATCAACGTTATCCATTAAGCAACGGAACTGTCGAAATCTTAGAACTATAGTAAATGACCTTAGATTATTAGCCTCGTCCTATATATGTATATATATATATATATATATATATATANTGCGTCTTAAGATACTACCATCAAGGCACGGTTTAACTACATGCATATTACTTGTATAAGTGTGTATGGCACTAAAGGTAATTTGGAGTGGTAAAGTCTGAGGATATGTCGCTAATGACTTAGGTCAAGCTGATGCTCACAGATTACCACTTTTTCAGTTCTTATTCAATATTACTTGTTAATTAGCTTAGGTATACTTTTAATGCTCACCAGCTTCCAAACTTTCTGATGGTCACTCTTAATTTTCACGAGACCCGTAGGTGAAGTGGAGCTGCGTAACCTGGCCTTTACGTAATCCCTTTTCTATTAACATGCTTACCTAAATATTTATTATGCCTGGTATAAGTCCACTACTGACAAAATATCGAGTACCGTGTACTGGTCACCACACTCATCACATTAATACAGTATTCGCAGTGCAGTTCGCCTATGCTAAAGGATAGCTGGCAATATCTTTATCTTGATTAGTAAGAGATGCATCACAACCACCTTTAGGTAATATAGGAGATAATGGTGGAAATTCACCGACAGACTCTGTAAACTGTGAGGCAGCAAAGCGTTGTGCACCTTCTCTGATGTTTCTCAAGGCTTCAATTCCGATGCAGGATTCTGTCTAGTATCTTTCAAAGTGCTGGACGAGCTCTCGCCTGGAGTACACATCATCATCATCCAAGTACACTAAGGTGTTGTGACCAAGAACAGATGACAATACAAAATTCATTGTCCTCTGGAAAGTGGTAGGTGCAGTACTGAGGCCAACGGATAGCCTCCAAAACTGAAAAAGCCTATAGCCATCGCTAAATGCTGTCTTGGGACGGTCTTCAGGATGAACCTCGACACTCCAATATGCTGCCCTTGCATCCAGAGTGGTGAACGTATCGGATGAGCCTAATTCATCAATAAGCTCATCAATTCTTGGCAGAGGGAACGTATCCACTGTTATTACTGCATTCAAGTTCCTGTAATCCACACAGAACCTAAGTGACCCATCTTTCTTCTTCACCAGGACAACAGGGCTCAACCACGGTGAAGTTGAAGATTCAATGACACCATTCTTGAGCATGGCATCACACTGCTTGCATAATGTTTGACGGGTTGGCTTGCGGGAGACGCCACTGCCTGGGATGTGGCCCACAACATCCTCACCTCCATCAAAAAGGGTACTGTAGCAACACAGAAGACTCTGCAACTCCTGTCGTTGATCTTCTCCTAAGTGATCCAGATCAGGCATCTGGTTTTCAGTCTTCAAGAGCAATGGGTAATCTGGGATATTAGCAGCTTCAATTGCGGCAAGGGCTTGTGATGGCGGAAGATCATCAGCAACATCAGTGGCAGTGCTGCCATAACCAAAATCCTCTATTCCAAAGGTCCTGTCAAACTGGTCTTCCTCCCACTGGAATTCCTCATCTTCCCTTTGGTCATCACTCAAATATGGACAAACAGAGTTGCAGGAATTGTAGTCGGAAGTCTCAGAGGCTGAGGTTTCTGCCGTAAAAACAGCCTCGACAGCAGATACCATCCCCAAACATGTACCGTGTTACTGTGTGGTGGAAGCTCTGTTTCTGTAAAGGTGCACAGCAGAAGAGATGTCGGGTGGCGAGACGGGGAAAAGCGGCTCTCTTCAGCATTCTCTGGAACATCTGGTGTGGTCACTCTCACTACACTGCAGGGATTGGGCATCAGTATAATTCACATGAAACTCCTGGCCTTCTAAAGTCAGACAGGCGCTGTCATCCTGGGACCTTGAGGACAGGCTAAAGGTGGTGGTTCTCAAAAAGTCCATCCCCAGGAGTATGTCTCCAGGAAATCGTACATCACACACAGTGACCGTATGGTGCATGGTGCATTTCAAGGTCTGAGTTAAGGCAGAAAACAAGGGTTACCTCACTCAGGGTGTTGATCGGTTGACCAGACACGCCTCGCAAAATAATGAAAGTCTTCCTCCGACGTACTTTGTTATGAGGATCAATCCACTTGAGAGCTTGGGGTTTAATAATTGTCGCTTCGGATCCTGTATCAAATAAAGTTCCTCAAATGGCCATCCAGTAGGCCGTGTCACTGCCATTCCCTTCTTGAGAGGTAACGTCTCCATGTGAGGTGCTCCTTGGATCGAACCTGCCAGCAGTTCCTGGAGCTTGGTCACCCTGGCGCTCACGAAAGGGGCAATGGTAATTGTTACAGAGAGCGACGCACCCTCTCAGAGATTAAGTAAAAAAAAAAAAAGATATTTTTCTGCATGAAATCCTATGATTTCATCGATTTTCGGCATTGTTTCTTTTGCAACTGAATCGTTCAGGAGATCGAGTACCATTTCTCCATTGACGATCTTGATTTGATAGTCCCGTTAGCAGGGGAGGGCATGAAATATATCAGGGGAATTATGGGGTAAAACAAGCTTAAATAAGAAGAATAACGATCAAAAATGCATAAAACTAGCACAAAAAGCGCTTAAAATCGGCCAATGAAACTCTACGGATGTAACCACCATCTTTGAAAGTTTACGGACTGACGCGAAATAAATTGAAAACTCTACGGGAACCCAACCCACATTTCGGTGCATTGCACCTAGTATTATACAAGGAATCAGAGTTGGCTAGTTTAGAAATTGTACAAAATGAGGCCATGAGGCTTATTCTCGCGCCCCTAAGACAACGAGGATTGTGAATATGAGATCAGAACTTAATTTGCCGTCTGTCTATGAAAGAAATATTATACATAAACACCACATTTAGCGTCAAAGCAATAAGAGAACCCCTCTATTGTACAGAGTTCCAAAGACAACTAAAACATAGAATAGTGGAGCTAACTTTGAATGGCAACATCGATTCAAATTCAAATCCATGGCAACAAGTTTCATGTAAGCACTTGTCTCAGCTGAACATATCCATAACTAAGACCCTACATGGACGTTCTGCTCCACCGTGGAAAATGTCGGACCTAAGTGTATTTTATACGATGCCCCAATGCGTATGAATGCTACACTGATGGATCCTTGCAGTCTGGGAGTAGAGCAGGATGCGCTTTTGTCGTATATAAAAACAATATTTTTGCAGCACCAGGATTGTAGGCGGGTTCATGACTGGGCTAGCACTACGCAAACTGAGTTGGCAGGAATGCTCATAGCCACCGAATTTCTATTAAGTCAAGGCTCAGGAGTCATTCTCTGCGACTCACAGAGTGCTCTCCAGGCATTGAACACACTAGACAAAGGTGCAGGAAATATTGCAAATGACATAAGGATAAATGTGTATCGTGCAAAAGAACGAGGCCATGATATACGTTTTTGTGTGGATACCATCGCATGTTGGAATCCCCAGGCATGATCATGCTGACCGCCTAGCAAAATCAGCATGTGACAAGCAAAGTGTTAATATAGATCTTGGAGTACCTCTTGCTAGGATTTCACACATAATTAAAAACTTCCTTCAAAGAGGACTTGTCTGACTTGATTAATTCTCAACGGCCTGAAAGCTGTAGCATAAAGCACTATGACAGGTTTATGCAAGATGTTTTCATCTATGGTTTTATACAAAACAAGAACAAGACAGTGTGATATTGTGACCGCAAGAATCAGGCTGGGATATAGATTGTACTGGCAGGTCAGTACAGCCTGTAATGTTGAAGAAACGAAGTGTAAATTATGCAATGAAGAATATAAGCGAACACTTGTACATTATATCTCAGAGTGCCATGTAATACAGCCTTTCAGACCACCTAGCATGAGGTATGGAGAACTATGTAACTACTTCATATCATCTGATGTCTTGGAAGATATAATTATGTTATATCCTAAATTTGGAATGTAGTATCACATGACCACATATCAAATGTTACATTGCCTTTCCACGCCCAAGCCGTATGCCGGCTTGACAGATGAGTAGATAAATTACTGATCGTTCTTTTCCTTTAAATGATATATTTTAGACCGTAATAATTTTATGATATAGATTTATTCTGTAATACTATTATATAATGCTTTGACCATGTATCAAATGTACTACAGCTTGCCCACGCCTGTGCAGTTAGCCAGGGTGGTAAATAAAGGACTAAACTAAACTAAACTACAGAAATTCACATGTTCCAACCCAAAAAAACGTATTGACCAATAAATCAACCTAATATATCAATATAAATTGCCGTGACTAGGCGTGCCCTTCGGGCACTGCCCGAGGGGAGGGTTGATGGGGAGCAAGCCCCCCAACACCCCCCAGGACATTCTCTCCACCACAGTATGTACGGCAAGACAGAGCTGCATTCACACCGTATAAAAATAAACCAAATACCTTTATATTCGGAAACATGAAACTTTCGTTTCTTTGTACTGCTGGTATTGCTTCGATTTTAATCACCTTTTTCATCCTTTGATGGGCTCAGATATAAAACTGGGATGGTTACTGAAGTCTAATTATTCTTCGATGCCACTGT